GGGACAGTGGATCATCCACCCTACACGCTTCAACTCCAAATTCTGTCACGGAAACTGTCCCTCCCCGATCGACGTCCGCCACAAACCCACCAACCACGCCATGTTGCAGTCACTCATGAGAAGCAAGCGTTCCAACGTCGCTCCCTCCCCTTGTTGTGTCCTTACCAAACTGGAACCTCTCAGTATGATGTACGTGGAGGATGGCGAAGTCGTTGTACGTCATCACGAAGACATGATCGCCTCTGAATGTGGCTGTCGGTGACGTCCACCAAGCATAAAACGTTTGAGAGGTTTGAGAATGCCATGTGATAACCGTATCAGTGCTATTATTATTTATACTAATAAACTTGTATTGATAAAATGTCTTGATGCTTTGTCTTTCACTGGTTAATTGTTCGATCTGTCTTGGACATGTTCTGATAATACACTGTACAATGTGTACCTCTAGTGCTACAAAGAACATTTTGCACTCACAATGTGAAGATAAACCCTTCAGTCTATGTGGCTTACTCCATCATAAACGATTGTAAAAGAAATATTCCTGCAACATTTGAATGCACCTCACAATCGGTAAATTAGTTGAACGCGTACTTGTGACAGCATTTTAGTTCCTAAATATAAATTATTGTTGTTGTTTTTTTTCAAAAACATGTACTCGTGACAAGGAGTATTATTATGGATAACAACTTCTTTATTGCACATACACAACTTCATCAGGTGAAGGTACAAGAAGTAGCCATGGAACGTTGTACATGTATTTGAATAATAAAGAAGTTGTTGAACCTAATAATATTCCCTGTCATGTTTACATCCAACTTCGATATTTCTATGAACACTCTCAAATAGCTGTACTGTCACTTTAATATATTTGCTTGCAACTACAAGCGACTGAGTCTACCCATGCAGATCGCGAAGGGCCTCAAAGTCAGTTCTGTAAATACCAATAAAAATGTCTTCAATCTCTGACAGAATAGTGTGATGAACTGTTTTCATTTCACCAACAAGGACATCGATTGGATAGGATTATTGGTGGAAAAGTTTAGCAGTTTAATCATTAACAGGGTTAGACTATGAGTATTCTAGTTAGACGAGTCTGGAAGACGGCATTTCTGGTGTCCCCCGCCGTTATATTGCTGGAATATTGCTAAAAGCGGCGTAAAACAATACTCACTCACTCACTCACTCACTGGAAGACAGGCTTGTTACAAGTAATGATGGTTGTTTTTCGGCGTCTAACGTTGCCTTTATGTTGAACAGCAGAACGAATTAATGGAGTGTTTCTGATACAGTGTGTAGAGTTAAATCTAATAATAACCTTTTCGTAAATGTATCAACCTACTTCACTATCAATAGTAGAAATTAAAAGATACATCATTTAGGAATTAGTTTAAAGATAATTTATGGAGAAAATATTCTCATGCTTACACATAATTTCGCTGAAAACAATAGTTCTTCATTCAAATGAGTGTCTTCCATTCCTGTTGTTTTAAAGAGCATACTGCAACGGAAAATAGACAACGCAATATGATTTTACTGCTATTCAGCAAATGGTTTGGAACAGATATGTTATTACATTGAACATATTTTATTTTCAAGGAGCAGTGATTTTAACAAATTATATAAAGTTTGTTTATTGAGATAGTTCAGTTACTCTCAGCATAACGAGTAGCTGAAAATTGGAATCCACTTTGGAATTCTAATAGAGCCAATCAGAAAATAACGACTTTGGTTATATCCAGAGATGTACAAATTGTTCATTCTTCACAGATCAAGAAGTTAATTATGTCTTTTGATTCACTTTCACCATATTGATTCAACAACAAGTGGCCAAATAGCAATGATGATAACACAGGAGACATGCTAACTGTCTGACACTTCTGCATATGCTGACTGTGGTGTCTGACATGCATGGCGACTTCGTCATAAACATTGCCGCAATAACACATGTCGGGATATTGATAGACACTCAGCTGAAAAGGATTTAAAATAATTGATCTTTGTATTGTTTTGATGATAGACAATCTCGTTTCATGACATGTACCCATACACTTCCCTCGTCATTTAAAACGCAAGAAAGTGTGTGTGTTTGGAACAGACAAAAACAATATTCTATATGTGATCGTCATATGCCATGTACAGTTTCCTTAAGAGAAGATGTGTTCTGATATCTTGAAGTGAATCATTAGATTCCAACGTAAATGGACTTGGAGTGAAGGTAACACACATAACATAAATATAAGTATGTATACCGAAACGTCGCCTTTCCAAGAAGTTGTTATCCATACATTGTGTCTACTTTAACAAACACAATGTAGTTATATTACAGACGATACCAACGTGTAGATACCAATCTTGGAAATATTCCTGTTAGGGAAAAGTAGAAATGATATGTAGGTAGTGATACTTTCTATGCTTATATTGATCTTACATACTGCGTAAATGTTTGCGAAAAGGATAGGAGTGAAGTAAAATCTCTGCAATCTAAAGAAACAAAGGTGTAATCCGTTCCATGAACATTCACTGTGGCGTGTAATGGGTTACTCTTGAACCTGACGAGTTGTTTTCTTAAACTAATGACAACAGTAATAAGCTTAGATTAGCGCAATGAGAGTGATCCTGAAGACAGGATCAGACAGTGATTGTTCGACAGTCAGATGAGACAGGGAGACGGGCTTGTTACTGTGGATTGGGGATGATCGCCCCTGTCTGGTGAATGGATATCGAAATCCTTGTTTATCTATGAATATTGAATATATTTTATATCTATGAGAAACAGCGTATAAGTACATATTTGAACAGTAAAATCAAACAAATTGAAAACATACAAAATCCAAGAAGTCTCTCCACTGTCATAAGATTACCTTTTAAAGTAGACATTTCACGAATAATTAGCAAAATTAATTACTAATTTAAAGCATCCGAGGTATCAGAATATGTATGGCTAATGTGTGTTTAATTGTTCATTTCACAAAATATTAGGTTATTTTCCTCTAAACCTTGCATTAAAGGTATGATGTAGTGATGTAACCAGAAGGTGTTATTTTACATGAAGAAGCTACAACTAGATCTGATGCACGCGACATGTCCTTACGACAGATTATAATCTTTGCCTGAAGGAATATGGACACCTCGCCAACACCCGACCATTATGTTACCACTTGTCTTGTTTACACAAGTAGTAGGGTCTGGTATAAAACGCCACACTGAAGCTATCACATCATCACTTGCATTGCTGCATCCTACACTGACAAACCAAAACATCAATCCAGCTATCAGAAAATGTCGCAGTGTAAAATCGCCATTTTATTTCTGACATATCTCGCCAATGTTGGAGCACGTCGCTTAGCTTCACCCAAACAATGGCTAAACCAGGAGTTTCAAGTCAAACCCCACACTTACCGGAATGAGGGAAAACATGTTGCAGACATATCCCCTTTTGTCAGCAAGCTGAGTCATACAGTTGATTATCAAAAGGATTCAACCAAATTCATGCTGCGATTGTTTAATATTCTTCAAAAGGGGGCACCACTTGCAACAGCAGCAGGCAGAAAGCTCAAAACAGCTGATTTTATGAAAGTCGACACTATCAGGAGCTTCGCAGCTAAAGGTAAGCTTAACACCAGACTGACTGATGTGTAGATGTGCAATACAAACCCGGAAAATGTCTTTCTGATTCCAAACAAGAATCTATTTTGGGAAAATGCTTCACTTTTTATTTGCTCGTTCATATGATACTGTTTTCCTGTTCCAGACATGAGTAAAATCAATGAAAGCAGCAGATTTGGCCTTTCGTTCAAGATACCTAGTCTGCCTAAGGACGAGAGTCTCCGATTAGCTGAGTTCCGGTGCCCACGCGCTCTCTCCCTTCTAAAGAAGTACAAGGTCAAGGTCAGCATTTTCAAGGGAAAGAAGATCGCAAGAAAAGTTACCATCAGAGTCCAACCTACTACACACCGTGAAGATTTTGTTTTTGACATCAGTCGAGCCATCACTGCCTGGGTCAACGGTTACCACGGTGACGTCACCATTCATGTGGAAATGCCGCGGACTTTCTTCCGACTTCTTTCGAAAACAACATCCGAAGTCTATGAAAACTTACTTGTTTTGTATTTGGAAAATCAGGACTTTCTTCAAAACGTTTTGTTTAAAGAGCAGTCTACATACGATGGATTGAAGAATAGCGCATCGCGTGGTAAGAGATCTGCACCTGACATAATCAGACGTCGTCGACGCAAGAACAGAAGATGGAATAAGGCAGGAAAGAAACAAGGCTGTCGTCTGTACGATTTTGACGTGGACTTCAACACAATCGGCTGGGGACAGTGGATCATCCACCCTACACGCTTCAACTCCAAATTCTGTCACGGAAACTGTCCCTCCCCGATCGACGTCCGCCACAAACCCACCAACCACGCCATGTTGCAGTCACTCATGAGAAGCAAGCGTTCCAACATCGCTCCCTCCCCTTGTTGTGTAGAATGGCGAAGTCGTTGTACGTCATCACGAGGACATGATCGCCTCTGAATGTGGCTGTCGGTGACGTCCACCAAGCATAAAATGTATCAGTGCTATTATTATTATTTATACTAATAAACTTGTATTGATAAAATGTCTCAATAATATGTCCTTCACTGGTTAATTGTTCGATCTATCTTGGAAATATTCTACCCTACAATGTATCCCTGTAGCGCCTCACAGAACATTTTGTTCATATATATAGTTTACATCAACATTAGTATCCTTAAAACATCCCTCGATTAACTCATGATCATCATCATCCTGGACAGTGGACCCTTATCATCCAAACGGCATCGAATATCAAGCTAGACACAATTTTATGGATGACAACTTCTTTAATACTGTGAAAAGCGACGTTTCGGTATAGATCCTTATACCGTTGTCTAGCAAGACTGAATGAGGGATATAGGTAAAGATATATGTAATATTATAGTAGGTGGAGGATTAGCAGTAGAGGATTAACAGTAACAACAATTGCATACATGAGTGGGATAATAGCCGACTCCTTCATCTCGGACTCCACGGACTTCTGCTCCAAACTCAAGAACACCACCGATCCAGATCAAATCATCAGTTACGACGTAGTAGACTTCTTCACCAACGTACCCATAGATGACACTCTGCAAGTTCTCCTCCGTCGCATCACTGAAACTCCTCTTGAAACTAGCTTAACCACCGAATCTATCATCGCCCTCACCACCGCCTGTATCTCCTCTACCTACTTCGCCAGGGGCGACGAGTACCATCAAGAGATACACGGCCTACCCATGGGATCCCCACTGTCTCCTATACTTACTGAAATCTACATGACCTACTTCGAACAACAAGCCCTCACCACATCACCCGTTCCAACCTATTTGCTGGTTGACGACACCTTTGTCTTCCTTAAACAAGACCAAAACCCAACCCTGCCACTACAACATCTTAACCAACAACACCCCTGAGTACAGTTCACCATCGAAATAGAAAAGGACAACCGACTACCCTTCCTAGATGTCCTCGTCTCCAGAAGCCCAACAAACAGAATCCAAACCAGTGTCTACCGGAAGCCCACCCACACCGACCAGTATATCCACTTCAACTCCAACCACCCTCTTAGAACCAAGACTGGCATCAACTCCACCCTCACCAAACGAGCCATCAACCTTTCTACTGCTGACCCCAAACCTGAGATCGAACACGTCCGCCAAGTCTTCACCGACCTCAACAATTATCCACCCAATCTCGTCGACAAAGTCATCGCCTCTGTACTCTATCCCACACCCAGACCTGCGACCCTTAAACCCGAATCAGCGCCCTTCCGCATCGCCCTCCCGTTCATAGGAAAAGCCTCCCACATCATCAGCCGCCTCCTCAAACAGCAAGCCAACATCATCACCCACTTCACCAGCTCCAACTCCCTCAACACCCTGCTAAGAGCCAACGGCAGTAACACAACCAAACCCCAAGAGCCTAAAGGTGTAGTTTACACAATTGACTGCAACTGTGGACAATCTTACGTAAGTGAAACATTCCGTCCAATCAACACCAGAATGAAAGAGCACAAAACCTGCACCATTAAATCCGACAGCACATCAGCCATCTCGGACCATATCAGCAACTGTCCCAATCACAACATCAACTGGGACAACGTCCAAATCCTCGCCAACAACCTGCATGATTTCACTAAAAGAAAACTAACTGAAGCTGTCCACATTCGCCGCCACAAGCCATCAATCAACAGAGATCAAGGCTATTTCATCCCATCGCCTACTATGAACTCATCAAGCAATAATCACTTATCCTGTTTATTGGCTTCATGTCCCTATTGGCTTCCACCTATGTGTTCTCTGTCCGCGTGCTGTGACAGCATCATCCCCTTGATGTCAACACCTACCAATGTTATCCCACTCATGTATGCAATTGTTATTACTGTTAATCCTCCACCTACTATATATATTATGTACTATATCTCTCATTCTTAAACAAAACTGCAAAAAATCAAATATCTTCACCCCTAAACTCGAAATACCCAAAATAGACACAACGCTAGCTAACCAAATAAATAAACAAACCGACCCAAACATAGCTAAAACCACCACACTTGCATACATACACGAAAATTGGCCAAATTGGTGTCACATTTACACTGACGGATCTTGAGACCCGATCTCCAACCACACAGGCTTCGGAGTCCATACCACACAACCAGTTATATCCACACAATCTTAACGACTCTCTAACAACCAATCTATATTCACGGCCGAACTTATGGGTATGGCCTCAGCCCTGCATAACCAACAATCTAAAAACAACAATAAAATCCTAATTCTCACCGACTCCCTTAGTGGACTACAAGCCCTCCAAAACAAAAATACAAAAAAACGGCCTAAATTAATAAAGCAAATACTTAAAAGCTCCAACGACCTAACAAAAGCAGGCAAACAAATAACCTTCTTGTGGATCCCCGCCCACGTAGGAATTTACGGCAACTAAAGCGCCGATAAAGCAGCTAAATTATCTCTCAAAATACCAGAAATAAGCCTAAACCTACCCATCTCAAAATCAGAAATTAAAAGTGTAAACAAACAAAAAAATAACCAGAAAATGGCATAATCAATATCAAAACTCAAATAGCCAAATAAAAAAAGTGCTTAGAAAACCACTAGCCAAACCTAAAATCCTACACCCCTCTAAAAAAATTGACAGATTAATTACAAAACTCCAAACAGGACACACGAACCTAAATAACCACCTAAAAAAACTTAAAAGGCACACCACAGGCAACTGCCCACACTGCAAACAACCCGAAACCACAGAACACGCACTCATCCACTGCACCCACTACCAAACACACAGAACCACACTACAAACTACCCTCAATCTAAATAAGGTTCCTACTCTAGATGAAATACTAAACCCTCAAAATAAACTAGAAAACTTCAAGGCCCTAGGCGTATTCCTAATCAAAACAGATCTAATTAAGCGCATCTAAAAACTCATTAATCTACCAATCCAAAATCCAATAAACATACAAACACCCACCTCACCCGGCTCCCTTAGTTCCCTCCTCCACCCACCTCGGCATTTATTCCAAATTTAAAAATTCCAAAAATTCAATATAAGCAAACCCTAAAAGCCCCCTCTTGGGTTGCACACACCACTTTCACCCTTTTCGGAATACACTAAATGGTCCGGCCAGGCCCGTGTGCGAAATACGCTACAGTCGGAAAGCGCACGTTAAATCTCCTATATCAGTCAGTCAGTCCCTCATTCAAATAACTGGCAAAATAACTATCAGAAATCTGATTGCAAACTAAAACACCTGCTACAAAAGCCACTCAACAAACCAAAAATCCATCATAAAACAAACAAAATTGACAGAGTAATAACTAAACTACAAACAGGCCACACTAAGTTAAACTCCCATCTGCACCAAATTAAAAAACACCAAACCGGTAAATGCCCCCACTGCACGTAATACTATATTGCACACATTACCAGCATCACAGAACAACACTCCAATCAACACTAAATTACAACAATCAAATGACACTAGCAACTGTACTGAACCCCCTAAATGACTTAAAAACCTTTAAAGCACTAGGCATATATCTTATCAAAACAGGCTTACTTGGCCGCATTTAAAAATAAAAGTACAACAAAGAAGCTGTCAATAAACCCTAAAATTCTAAACCTATAAAACACACAAACTCCTTTTAGTCCCCCCACCCCCACCCCCACCCCCCCCTAATGGCATATTTCAAAATTCCAAAATTGTTCTCCAAATTAAGTAAGCAACCCTAAAGAGCCCCACCTAGGTTGCCTCACCTTTTCGGACATACTCTTTTCGACCAAACACTAAATGGCCTTGCGGGCCCGTGCGCGAAATACGCATATGTCGGAAATCGCACGTTAAATTCCTAATTTAAGTAAGTACCCTCATTCAGTCTTGCTTGACAACGGTATAAGGATCTATACCGAAACGTCGCTTTTCACAGTATTAAAGAAGTTGTCATCCATAAAATTGTGTCTACCTTGTCATCCGTCAACTTCTAAGTAATGCCTATCAAACAATTTAGGCTTCGAATATGGCACCTTTAACTAATTTCCACATCAATAAATCATGGGTATATGGAATAGTGTCACCTTGCAATCACAAAGACGTTCTCAACAGTAATTTTCCGAAAGACGCAGTTGTCGGACCAAAGGGGTCTGCTCTAACAGGGGTTCACTGTTTACATCATTTTACCTGAACTCGGACTTTGTAGAAGATTGACATTATTGAATAGTTTGAAGGGATGGGGCAAGGTCACTCAAGCTGGGATTTTATCTGCGACTATTATAGTTTAAGTCGTTTCTCAAGTGATAAATAAGTACTAAGTTGAAATTTCAAGATACTAAGTTGAAATTTCAAGATACTAAGTTGAAATTTCAAGATAGAGAAGTTGGAATTTCAAGATACTATATTGAAATTTCAAGATAAGAAGTTTTTAACATCCTAAGATGTAAAAATACGTTTGAAGTGAATAATCTTGAAATTTCAAGATAGTATCTTGAAATTTCAACTTCTCTGTCTTGAAATTTCAACTTAGCATCTTGAAATTTCAAGATATTATCGAAAAAATTAAAAAAACAAATGGCCCTAAAAGGCTTCCGTAAGATGATGTAATGCTCGTGGACCTAGTTCCCGAATGTTGAGGTTATTACGCAGTAATAATTAACATGTGTTGCCCAGTTGTGTGTGTGTGGCCTGGTGGTTAAAATATTCGCTTGTTACGCTGAAGACCCGGGTTCGACTTCCCACATGGGCACAATATGTGAAGCCCATTTCTGGTGTCCCCTGCCGTGATATTGCTGGTATATTGATAAAAGCGGCGTAAAACTATACTCACTCACTCAAACTGAAACGGGATTATGGACAAAGGTGTGATTTCCCAGAAGGTATTACATTGTAGCGAACACTGTACCGAGGGTGATGAATATCAGGTATAAGTTTATCTTCTGATTTTCTGAACCTCAAAGAAAAACCCTTTACCTCAAATTTATTGTGGTTCGAGTGGAATTGTTGCGTACAATGTGGATAAATGCAATGTTTTGAGGGTAATAAGTTATCTTTGAGACATGGATTTGGTGGCACATTTCCTGGACCCAATACACATATATATTTATCCGGATTTGTGTCCATGTCGAGCTTTTGACTCCAGTATAAAAGACGTTTTAAAAACAAGCCAAATGTTGATACTATTGGTTTTCGTAGATTGGACCATTGTCCAATCTTATCCATTACATATACTAGCTGGGTAAATGGTCTTGGAAACGTATGTTCGCGAATATATCTGTAATGCATTGATATACAGACACACAGACACAGACACATACACACAGACCCACAAACACCCAGACAGATAATGTGGACACGTCACAGAGATAATCCGACTTCTAGTTATGGGCGGTTCCTTAGAGGTAAGAGATTGACATGCTACATATTCCGTTAATCCCTGTGATCGTGTACCGGTAAACCGGATTCATATTATCTGACAAGCGGATTATTCTGTTAACAGCAGCAGATTCTGATTAGTTTATCTTCATGGCAAAATATTCAAACAAACATCTTGTATTGTATTGGTGACGCAACAGAACGAGTAATGCGCTGTGTTGTAAGTGTATTCCGTATAATTGTACAAGTAGATAATTGCATCTTGGTGTGTTTGATTTATGAAGAACAACACCGATCATCTGTTTCTAACACAATCATATACAAGTGTACCATCCCTCCATTTATGGTTGGGTTCCCTTCAATGTAAAGTTTAGTAGTGAGTGAGTATGGTTTTACGCCGCTTTAAGTATTATTCAAGCAATATCACGACAAGGGACACCAGAAGTGGGCTTTCATGAATGCTTTGACCACTAGGGTACCCCACCACCTTAAGTTTAGTAGATAAATAACACTCAGCGGTGACAATACATTGACCACATGGACATTGCTGGTTAGAATAGGGCTCCAGTAAAATATACTGCCATTTTGAGGCTGCGTAGTGGATCGGGTGGTCTGGCTCGGTGACATGGTTGATTGCGGGTCACCGTACCCCGACTGTATGGAAAGTTGTCATGATATCAACCACTGGTTTGTCGGACTTGATTATATACAGGCCGCCGACATATAGGCAGTACTGCTGACTGCGACATTAAACAACAAACAGCGACAATGTACATATTGAACAAACTGACATTGAGGTAGAAATCATTACACTTACATACACAATTGTGAACATACACGGACACATTATTCATGTTCAACTCATCAGGTTATGGCGTTTACATTTTCTGTACAAAAATAGCCTCTTTATCAATGCTGTCGCTGTTCACTGCAAAGGCCTGTATTCGATTCCCACCATACAAATGTAGGTACAACATTTTCGACACTGATGCTTGCTTTAGACCGACGGCTTATTCAAATTGCTCAACGAAAAGTGAAATTTGCTCAACTATCTCAGTATAAAAATTATAACCCAAATTCAATATACCAATCTACACATGTTTTATTTCATTGTTTACATCACATATATTACAGTATAAATTCCCAAAGAAACACAATATAATCAGGCTTCTACAATATAGCACCATAGAATTGTCATCACAGATCAGCTTCCGTAGAATTGTATTTTGTTGCACATAGCCTCATGCTGTAGAATAAAATGACGTCACAAAGATGATGATGTCATCGACAACCACACTCATCAGCAATCATGTCTTCGTGGTGACGTACCACAATTTCGTCATATTCGAAGTATAACATGCTCAGTGCTTTTAACTTGGTAGGAACACAACAGGGGACGGGTGCAGAGTTTGACCGTTTGGTTCTCATCAGTGACTGCAACATCGCGTGGTTGGTGGGCTTGTAGCGGATGTCGATGGGGGAGGGACAGCTGCCGTAACAGACTTTGGAATTGAAACGTTTTGGATGAATGATCCACTGTCCCCATCCGATAGTGTTGAAGTCAACGTCAAAGTCGTACACATGACAGCCCTCTCGCTTTCCTGCTTTGTTCCATCTCCTGTTCTTTCGATGACGTCGATTCTTGCCACGTGACGCCCTCTTCCCACGTGACATAACGTCACTTGACGTCTTAGACGCACGTTCTTCCGCTGTGTAACTTTCATACATATTTTTCAGGAATTCATCATCTTCCAGGTAAAAGACGATTAATGAATCAGCTTTCTTTGACTTGTTTTTAGAAAGTGTTTTGGTATATTTCAATGGAAGTTTAATGTTTATCGTGACGTTACCATGGTAACCGTTGATCCAAGGGGTCAGTGCGCGACTGACGTCAAACACATCATATTCAGCGTGAACAAAAGGCGGTGTCCTAAAGGCAAATTTGCTGACAAGACTTCCTCCCTTGAAAATGTCTATCTTGATCTTGTACTTCTTAGTCCTTACGTTTCGGGATTTTTTACGCAAACAGCGGAACTCAGCCAATCGAAGTCGTTCATTTCGGGGTAAAAAGGGAATCTTAAAACGCATTTCCACTTTTTTACTTCCTTCTGGTTGTAGAATTTCTGCAAAAATACGTATATATGTATCATATGTGAAATATTAGACAACATATAAGCAAGATTGATAGATATATTTCAGTACACGAGGCCACCTGACCCACAACTTATTAATGTTTGACAGTCATGGTTGCGATGAGAAATCGCTCCTAATATGGGAGTGGTTATGCACTGATTTTGACGTTAGTACACATAAACTGTCGGACAACAGACATAAAGTATACACCCATGTTTGATGGAGGCTAAAGATGAAACAAAAAAGAAATTGTTACTCGATGGGGATGCATTTGGGTCGGGTATAATAGTTTTTGTTTTGGACCTTAAGTTTACAGTGTTTCGGCGACTGTTTTCAGCGCCAAGTAACGTGAGTGAGTGAGTGTAACGCCGCTTTTAACAGTATTCCAGTTATATCACGGCGTGTCAGCTTAATGTGGGAGGAAAGCCCCAAGTGATGCAGGTCCCAGACGTTTACCACTTCGGTGAAACTCACGAGCACGGGTATGCCGCTGACAAACCTAGAAACATAATTGGGGCGAACCGGGATTCGAATCCACAATCATAGGTTTCTGCCACCCCCCCCCCCCCCCCCCCCCCCCCCCAAATAACGTTTTCATAACATTTATAATGTTTGGGCCAAATCCAATTGCCTTTCGTTTGCCCGACAATTAATGTTGGAATGTGTGTATATACACAATAATATAGCATCCGGTGTAAACTTAAAGAAAGTAACAATGTGTGTATCTTTATAGGTGTGTGGCCTATCAGCTCCGTCAACAACAACAACAACAACCATAATAATAATAATGGTATAAACTACGCTTATGCGAATACTGTGGCTAGATGAATAAAATATGTGTTCATCTTCAATTGACAAAAAAACGATTAAGGCCCCTGCGTCATTATCACGACACGTGCCCTTCCCAACTGTAAGATAGCATACGGATTGCTTTAGTTTACCCTTAATTACAGGTTCATCAGAACTCCTCTTAAGTTGAAATTAAAAGTAGTTTTTAAATTATTTTTTTTATAAAAGTGACAATCCAGACAAAATGTAAGAGACAAATTCAGGAACATAATGAATATATTATTAAATGTAAACTGCAGGGCAAAAAAAGTATGTACTTGAAAATTGAATTTGACCAAAACAATACAAACGTTATAAAAAAATCGTTACTTGGCTGGTAATAGTCTCCGATACAAAACATTGCAAACTTAAGGTCCAAAACACAAATATGTATCGAATACATCGCGATCGAATAACAATTTCTCGTTGGTTTCATTTTTAACCACCATCAAATATGGGTGTGTACTTTCTTTTACCAGGCAGTTGATGTTGACTCGTAAGCAAATATCCTAATTTGACGCTATTTGTCATTTACACCGAAGTATCATTAGCATAAAATCATGTTTCATATACACTTAAAACTTTAGTCATGTGAACAGATGCAACTGCTATTATTTTGAAATGATAAAAAATAACCATATTAACTACACTTTTATCTCGAAAAACTATCTGCCATAGTCATAGGCCACAATATATTGAGCATTTGTTCCTCAGTTTTAGTTTTTCATAGTGAGGAAACCGAAGAAGTATTTCTATTCCAATTATAATAAATCAAACATGTATTTATTGTTTTCGAGGATTGAATAATTCTCTTTACATATGAAATAGTTCATAAACTGATCCAATACCAATATTTATATGTGATTGTCTTTAGCTTCAGTTGTTATACCCTTCCCTTAGATAACGTATAATAGCACATCATCTATTTTTACATCGTACTTCTGGCAACACATATATATAATAACTTGTTAATTATCAGAAAAGCATTGCCAAATTATGATATATTTCAGACATAAATCAGGAAATTTCGCGAAACTTGGTTGTTTCCATATTTAAATGTTTTTTAATGATATTCTTAGTGTGGCTCGTGAACCATGTATCGCAGAACCTACTTAGTTGATTGTATGTAACACATACATGCATCACACTTGTTTCTAATGCAAATGTCATGGTGAATAGGCCGGTTGTGTAGCATAGATATATCACAGACAGCCAACATGTTTACGTATAAGAGAATTGGGATTGTCGTACACATCCAAGTGTTCCATGTTGAACACGAAGTTGCGTATACCATGTTTTTCTCAGAACTGTCTCAAGAAATCCATTCATATAAAAGTCATATGTATTGTATGAACTTACACACAAAATGTATTTAAGTATGGTACACTTCGAACGTATGCAGTTGTTCCGGGCCTAAACATTTCATGACATAATGGTTGGTTAAATGTTGTTTGTAAATCGCAAATATATTGCTTTAAACATTCAACTACTCTGTACATGTTAAACATTTTTTTTAAACTAAAGTGTTTCAAGTATTTAGTTACATATGCGAAATTATTCTGTTTGTTTGTTGTTTTTGATTTGGACCCGAGTTGATGATTCTCTGAACAAAACCACCAATAAATCCCTTCCACTGTTCATTCGTTTTGCTAAACCTTTCAAATTCGTATAATAATGTCCTTAAATTTCTTTCGTGATCCTGCTTTATAACACCAGAAACAACATATCTCGTTCATCTAATTTCAGTTGGCTAATAACGGCCACTACTTGTAAAACATTTGAAATTGATGTTTTCACAACCTATTTCATGGGTATGGTTCTATTGGTGACATTGGTATTCTCAACTATATAATGGACGAATATTTATCATCCTAACATTGTCCAATACAAACATCCATTCTTCGTACTATACATGTCCCCGTGCTCTTACCTTTGGTGGAGAAACTCCTAATGGTGTCGGACAATCTCAGATCGGGTTGGTTCAACCTTCCACCCGCCGCTTTAGCAACGGGCGATCCCTTCTGTAGGAAATTAAAAAGTTTCACCATAAATATAGTAGATGCTTTCCTATAATCCGCCGCAATTCTCCATTTCTTGAAGTATCGAATCGTATCGTCCGCAGTTGAGTCCGACTTTTCAACAGTTGTTTCCGTGCTGACGTCAACTCCAGATTTGATCCAATGTGGAGGAAAATCTACTCCATGAATAAACACAGGTCCAATACACACAATCAAAATGATAATTCCTAACTGTGACATTGTGTTACTCTTCCAGACAGTTCGGTCCACGTTTTACTGTTTAAGTGCTGGATGTAGCAATTTAAGTGATGAAGTGATACCTCCCGTGTTGGTTATATACCTTGTCCTGCTGCTTGTGTTTAGGGGACAGGGGTCTTACAATGGCCGGGTGTTATCGGGGTGGGCAAATCCCTCAGGGCTAACTCCATAATCCCCCGAGTCAAACCTTGCTGGTTGTTTTGAGGTGTATCATTGTGACCTTCCGGAAGATGTTTGTGCATCAGTGATGTCCCTTGTTTCAAAGGTCTGTTGCTTTGTCACACACACAAATCATACAGCACCTTAATACTTTAAGAAAATAATTTATTAAGGTCTGATTATTTAGGCAATATGTCAGGCAGCTAATTCCAGACAACTCGATTGAAATTCACAATTTCTTTTCCTTCACAATAAATGACTTTGTGTACAAAAGGACATATATTTCATGACGACCCTTTATCATAGCACGAACAAAGCAGGACAACACAAGTAACATCAACTATATCAATTTACAGTCCATTGCGTCAGTCTTAATACAGCTGGGGAATATTTACTTTAAGTAATCAGTTAAAAGGGACCACGTAACAGAAATATACAAATTATTAATCTCATATAATGTAATATCATTTGTATGATAGTTTTATGATAATTGGCCGCTGTAGGTAGACGTGAGAACGGCATGGCTGTAGGAAACTTTAACCTCGAAAGGACCAGGCTAAACACTGAAGCCAAAAGTTGTATTGAACCAAATATCCATGTTATCTCCGATTGGTACGTTATACACAGTTTATCCCTAACCTCAAGTTGAGACCGACGTGTGCAGCCCCGGGGCCCCGCCAGTCTAATTGCTCCAGTACAGATGGATCAAGTGGAAAAGATTATCAAAATCGTTTCTGTCAAATATTTTCACGCCATTGAACAATATCAATAGCCACTCAATCACAAGTTACATGGCAAAGCACAATATACCCAACAAGTGCGATCAAGTGCTTTATAACCAATTATAACGGTCTTTTTGGTTTCCAAACTTTTCTAAGAAGTCCATACCCACATACCATCTGACAATGGCGTTTAGTAGGCCCTCAAGAGCTGGTATATACAAACAATCGACGGGATTAGTACGTGTCGCTTCAATCTGTCTGGAAAAAAATCTTAGTGGGTTTTTTGTGCAGGCACTTGGTACCCCGGGGCTGCAGTCGGGCTAATTGGCTTCTTTGCCCGTTCATACGACGGACGTGTTGTGTAAATTAACAATAATTCAACACGAAATGTTTCATTGAATAGACATGTAGGCTTAGAGTGAGGTGGTGTAGGTTATTACACATTGTTCTTGGGTTTGTATCAAGTGTACTTATAAACACCCTGAAGAAAGAGGAGCCATGAAATGACGAAGTTTGATTGGCTATATGAAGCCAGGGTGGCATTTGATTGGATCAGAAACAGCTCGAGGTGAGGAGGAAACAATGAGTGTAGTGGATGCGATAAATCAGTTTGACCATGTTAATAATCGCTGGATTAGTGACTGTTGTCCAACTCTGGAATGATTGACAGGTTTATGGGGGACTGAGGGGGTGCCACCGCTTCCACTGATCCCCTGCGCCTTGAAGACAAGAGATGGGGAATTGATACAGACAGATACATCTTCTGTGGGCCAAGATAAACAAACGAAATGCAGTTGGCAAAGTGATAGAAGATGGCCGTTCCGGTTCATGAAACGCCAAGGTGGGACATATACGCTGAACCTGGTACTTATGTACTGTATCACCTCTTTCACGAATGAATAACAACTAACACTGAAATTCATTTGGTATTTACTTCGATGTTTTTGCAACGTTTGAAAGATAATTTTCAACAAACATGGAACAGA